GTGTGTGCACACACCTGAGCAGAGAGAAATGCACCCAAAGAGATGGAAATGGGATGAATAGAAAGGAAATGTTCATTTCTTTGTATAATTATTTCAAATAGCAAGATGTATGGCCAATTTTTACTTTTTTTGTATTTTTTCAATAAAATAAAAAGTTACTGGCTTTCAGTGTCTAGACTTGGGAAAATCAATTTACCTCAGAAGTAGGTTTTGTTTTAAAAAATATCCATGTAAGACTTTTCAGTTTTACACAGAGAAACAAAGTTCCATTCCAGGAGAACACAGTGCAGTCACCATATATTTGAAAGCAAATGTCATGGGATGAGCTTAAGTGTTGGGAGCTCTGTTTAGTGATGTAAACTGGGTATAGATTTAACAGTACCAAGGTGCTGCAGAGTGAGATTTATTTTTCTACTTAAATAAGATTAAACTACACTGTGGTTAAAAACTACTGTTGGTTCTTGGAAGATCTATGTTATTAATTCCACTCCCACCCCCATCTCTGCCATTGCTCTCAAAAGACTATGAATCCAAAACCACATCTGTCGGGATAAAGGAGTCTACCTCCCTTTGCTCCAGGTTGGAAAATACCTGAGCTAAGAGACTGCAAAGAAGGATGGGTTTGGCACAGAACCATGTAAACCATCCTGTAGTTTTTGGATGGCCTTGGCTAAGTCCTGGAGCTCAGGGCGCTGCGTGGGAAGATACCCATGTGGATAGGGAAAGGGAAAGAGCCCTTCCCTTGAAGCAAATGCATGCTGTTCACTCAAACTTTGAGGGTCTGCAAGGAGAGGTGGTAGATTTTGGAGACCTCCACCTCAAGCTGAGGGTTGAGAGGGTTGGGGTCTGTCAAGGTGAAGAGAAACTGGAGTTTCTTTTGGAGTAAGGAATAAAGATGCTGAGCTGGCTCTAACTGTGTGAAGCCTCTGGGACTGTGCAAAGGTCCTGGGGTTGGGCTTGGTCTGTGAGTTTCAAAAATAAGTACTGTCTACGGTATACTTTTGCTACCAGGTGTTCAGTCAATTCTATAAACACGTACACACAGAGCAGTTTTAGTGGAGTGTGGGGCTGAAGCGAGTGTGTGCTGGGTTAAAGAGTGTGTGAAAGGTGAAGAAGTGGTGGAGATAAAGCTTGGTCAAGAAGGAGAGAAACAGAGCACTAATGAGACAGTGGCTGGGTCCCACAAAGGAGTCATGCTGTGATGGGAAAAACTTGAGTGGGTTTAGAGGCTGAGGAAGGAAAGCACCAAGAGAGGGAGATAGAATATACAGATCAAGAAGCTAATTGATGGGACGAGGAGAATAGCAGGGTAGAGACAGACTCAAGAGCACATGGAGGCTTCATCCTCTGAGCCTGGGGAGAAATTAAGGCTCAGAAGATGTTCAACTGGATGTAGAAGGACAGAAAACTGAAGGCCTGGCTTAGGAGATTCCATCTTCTCAGTGAAATGTCAGCAGAGTCTTGGGGTGACATGCGAAAGGCAAGTGTGAGGGGGCTGGGAAAGGGCAAAAAACTGGGCTGAGGGATGGCTGTGGGGGCTCTCCTCTGTGAAAGGGACCCTGGTCTTGGTGACAGGGTGGTTTTCTCTACAGGGATGGCAGACTGTGGGGTTGGCCTAGGGCAGTGGATGTGCTGGTGTCTCGAGTGGCCCAAGAGAGCTGCGAAGAAGTTGCGTGCATGCTCTAAGCTGGGTGGGGAAAGCCAGACTGGAGGAAGCTGACCGACCAGGAGAGCATGGAGGGACCAAGGGCCTGGTGGCCTCTTCAGTGGAACTAAGACCATCAGTAAGCTGGGAAGGGAAGGATCACAGTCACAGAGGGGGAAATCTGAACCTGTTTTGCTGATTTAAAGGAAGGCAAAGCTGAAGTCACAGGGTCCTCAGAAATCCTGGGAAATCCTTACCAGTAAACTACAGAAGGCAAAGAGTTTTCTTTTTTATTTTTTTAGTTTTCTTAACTTTAGCTTATAACTCATTTCTACAAATACAGAAAGCAATCAACTATATGTAACAGACAGTTCCTAGACAGAGGAACACTTTGAAATGTAGAGGGCAACTAACAACTAAATAATGCTACAAAAGGTCAGATAAACCCACCTATCAACTGTCACTGTGTAAAAAGATGTTCTTTTTCTAAGGACACACATAGGAGTGTGGAGGATCCTGTCATTGCCATGGATGACATCCACACCTCTCCCTTCTGAGCACCCACCTTAAGCAGCTCCACGGCTACCAGCACCTCCTCAGCAGGAACTTTATTATCCCCCAGCATGTTGGAAAGAGTCCACTTGAGGGGCTTCAGCAGGAAAACTCCAACCCCCCAGGAGATCCAGCTGCTGTCTACACTGGCCATGAAGTCTGACTCCCGCTGCAGCTCCCCTCGACTGCAGGCAAAGAAAGAAAAGGGCATACGGTGGCTTAGTGCAATGTCCCATTCCAGTCCCCACCTTCTCCCCCAGAGACAAATTTGATCATCATCACCATAAACACCATTTATTAGGTACCTACTCTGTGCCAGCTATTATGAGCAGCAGTGTTTCAGCTCCAGCTGAAAGCCTCATTCTGTGAGATGGATGTTGTTGGCATTTTAGTTACTGAGAAAATTGAGGGAATGAGGCGAGAGGGGCCAAATCTAAATTATAACTTGGCTCCAAAATGCGAGCTCTCCACAAGGCTGCAGAGCCTACTTTGAGACTTCTTTTAACGAATGAAGCTCAATGTGATAAAATGAGAATCACAAAAAATGGGTTACTGTTAATGCAAGACCTAAAGAAATATACAAAGATGTTCAGAGAAAAGGTTTCCTGCTATTCCTGAGCTAGGGTGGAGATAGGACATAAGTACTTTACGGTACTGGTAATAAGCAGCTCTATTTACTGAATGCTTATCACGAACCACTCCCTCTGCTAAGGGCTACGTTAGGAATGTGTTTTCAAATCCTCACAACAAACCTAACTACAATTCTCACCATCATCATTGTATACTTGGTCAAACTGAAGTTAAAGAGGGGCACATTACGTAGCAAGTGGCAGAGCCGGGATTTGAGTCCAGACCATTTGGCCCTCAAGCAAAGCTGTTAACTACTAGCCTATGCTGCTTCCATGGAGGATTATCTCCCTGAAAAATTCTCTGGGTGCCAGACCCCATCAAGCACCAGGAAGCATCAGTAGAGTGCCAGCAGTCAGGACAGAAGAAACCAAGGTCTTAAAGGTCTCTGGATTGGAAGAGGTAGAGAACGGTCCTACTGCAATAGGAAGCCCAGACTGTTCTTGTTCCTCCTCGACTTGAACTATGGTTTCCTCTGTACCCCACCTCAGGCAGGAACTAAAACTTGGCACAGTACGCTTTCTCAGAAACAATAAGTTTCAGAAATGGGTTGTCCCATCAATGTCAGCCAATGCAAAGGTACTGGGGAGAAAGGCGGCCTCTTAATCAGGACGAGCAGCAAACTCCAAGCAACGTATCAAAGTTGACTTTCTTCCTTCACTGAAGGAGGCAGTATGCCAGCTAGGCCGCTCTCAGTCTGTGTACAATGTGATGTGCAAACGATTTAGAATCAGGAGACTGGGGTCCTGTCCTGGCATTACCTCTCACTCGCTGTGTGACCTCGAGTAAGTTGCTTCTCTCTGTCTCGGTCCCTCCTTCTGTCTGCTGAGGATAATTCTATCATCTCGCCCACAGGATTGCTGAGGTCAAGTGAATGGTGCATGCAAAGTATTCGCATTCTATTAAGTGCGGTACATCTCTTAGATATCCATGCTGTGGCCTCAGGTGCCTCCAAAACCCTGCACACGGGGCACAGGTAACACCTACAGAACCTTTCCAGAGCACCAAGGTATCCAGTAAAGCCCCTAACCTGCTTCACGTCCTCTGCTTCAAACAGCCTGTGCCAAGGACAAGCCAAACCAGACACATGACCCCGGGGCTGTTGGCAAGATCCCCACGGGCCTCTTCCCCACGACTGCTCTCTTCTTAGTTCTGACCTCCCTCAGTTCAATAAATCCTATGTCACAGATCTGCCGTTCCAGGGTAATTCAAATTTGGAAGCCCTTCGAAACAACTACACAACGGGATTGCAGGCAAGGCAAGTCATTGTCACCTGTGCCAGGCGGGTTTCTCCTCCGACCGTCTCAATGGAATTCATCGGCCTATTGCGGCCCCATAATTTGCCCGATGCCCCGTCTCCTGCCCCCTCCACACCCCTAACCCAGCCTCCTCCTTGTCCTCCTCTGCCTGCCGAGCACACACAGATGCGCTCCTGCGGGCCAGACCCGGGGCTGGGCGCGGTCCCCTCCGGGGGCCTCCCCCGCCCCCCGGCCCCCGGCCCCCGGCCGGCCCGCCCTCACCGTAGTAGGTCCTGCAGCACGGTGGCCAGCCCCAGCGGGACACTGCCCTTGCGCTGGAAGGCCTCCTGCAAGTCCCGCAGACGCAGGCGCACCACCCCCTGGCGGCGGCTGTGGCTCAGCACCAACGGTGCCCAGAAGCCCATCTTGCTGTCCCAGTCGGTGCTGTTCACCTCGCGACTCCTTTTGAAGGCGGAGAACAGGAAAGACATGCGTTCCTCGTCCTCCTCCCACTCGGGGGGCAGTAGGCCCGCCGAGTCTCCCCCGGCCGGGGCCTCGGCCTCCCGCTCCGGGGACCACATCGGAACCCCAGCCCCGCCAAGGCTCCGAACACAACCCCGGCCCTGGTCCCCCCTTCCGCCCTAGTTCCCTCCCGGCTTCCGTTCCTTGACCGCCTCCTCCTCTGTCATTACGTCATCGCCACCCCCAGCGCGAAATAAGTCCCGCGCCGCCTTAAGCGCATGCTTCTCTCTGCCCTCCCTGCGCCGGGAGGCGGGGCGATGACCCTATTTTCGGACGGGCTCAAAGCGCATGCGTCGGCCCCTCCTCCCGCCGTCTTTGTGCGGCGAGAAGGGCTTCGCGCGTGCGCGGCGGGTAGGTAAGCGTCCCGCCCCCTCGCGGATCATAGAGTTTGACGACGCGTCCTAGAGAGGCGGACGCTTCGGCTCCTAAACTGCGGAGGCTGCAGGGAGTGGGACCATAGCGTCCCGCTGAGGGGCGCCAGAGGCAACGGGGTCGCACGGGAATAGCTGTTCCGCTCCTGCACCGGCCTCGACTTCAGACACTTAAACTTCAAGGTAGCTTCCTTTTAAGGTAATGTCAGCGGATAAACAAGTGTGGGTCACTCAAGTTCTGAGTGACAGAATGTGCACACTGATTTTTGTGTGCACACTGATTTTTTTTTTAAGATTTTATTTATTCATGAGAGACACAGAGAGAGAGAGAGGCGGACACACAGGCAGAGGGAGAAGCCGGCTCCGTGCAGGGAGCCCGACGTGGACTCGACCCCGGGTCTCCAGGGTCACGCCCTGGACTGCAGGTGGCGCTAAACCGCTGGGCCACCCGGGCTGCCCGGAACTCCCTTCTAATCTCCGTTGAAACCTTCTCCAGTTACCGTGACTCACCGTTGACCCCTTCCCTGGGCTGCACAGTTAGCGTTTGCTACTCTGCATCCTGTTCCCTGGTGCCCTCCGGGCAGGTGCAGCGGCTTACATTTGATGCCGAAGAAATAGTTTGTCAACTGAAAGGTGCACAGCTTGACCCTTGCCCCTCCAGTAACTAAGAATCTTGTTAGGATGACTGAGAGCTTACATATGTAAGATACGGAAAATCTTCCGAGCCATGAACCTGTCCAGTGTGTGAAGAATAAATTGGGTTTTTTTTTTTTTTAGTTGAATGATTTAAAAGATGAAAGGCGTTTCATGTTTAATGGAACTGGGTCACCAGCTCAACCAGAGTTGGGTATGAATCTGGCCTTGGTCAAGTATCTAATCTTCTGTTTATTTTTTTATTTTTTTTAAGATTTTATTTACTTATTCATGAGAAAGACACACAGAGAGAGGCAGAGATACAGGTAGAGGGAGATTCATGAGAGAGACACACAGGTAGAGGGAGAAGCAGGCCCCATGAGGGGAGGCCAATGTGGGACTCGATCCCAGGACCCGGGATCACAGCCTGAGCCAAAGGCAGATGCTCAACAGCTGAGCCACCCGCGCGTCCCCTAATCTTCTGCTTAAAGGAAATGTTATGTATGTAAAATACCGGGCACGTAGTATAGTGTTAATGATATAGGAAAGATAGGGTTTGAAGCCGAGGGCCACGAAAGAATTCTTGAGGCATCTTTGGTGCAAAAAAGTGGTTTTATTAAAGCAAGGGGACAGGACCCATGGGCAGAAAGAACTGCACTGGGGTCATGAAGAGTGACCCATTATATGCTTGCAAGTTCTGAGGGAGTTAGGAACAGAAGGAACCTCTAAGGTATTTTGGAAACGGTTTCTAGGACCCTGAGGGGTCTAGCTTTTGTTAGGAAAGTTCGCTTATTATTGTTTAGTAAACCCTCAGTCATGAGACCCTTCTGATGTCTATCAGTGGGTCATATGCTTGGAGGATGATTCCTAACCAATATCTTGGGGGGAGGGTTAGAGATAAAGGGAGCTTCCAAAGGAATTTTTATAGGTTACAGAAGACCTACAGGGTCCTGGGGGTCGGGCTACGATTGCCTTTTGCCCTTAGCAAAGTGTCAGCATCGAGGCAGTTGAGTCCCTAGAGGAATGTCACTCTGCCTGTTTCAAGGACTTGTCAATGGGCTGTAAGTAGTAAGGAAATTTAATAATTGTTCTTCTTCTGCCTTTGCTTCCCACATCGTTATCCCTGAATGGCAGAATGTTTAGTAGTTGGAACTCAGTTGCAATGAAGAATCTTAATAAGCATTTTGAAGGAGGGGAAGGGATATGATTGGTTATATGAATGAACGTGTCATCTGATACTGTTGTCTTACATTCCTTCAAGCATTTTCAGGTCAGTATCCCGTTTGATAACTTACAGCAACTGACAAAAAAAAAAAAAAATCTCTCCTTGACCACACTCTAAAGTTTCTCTGAACCCTCTTCTTGACAAGGCCTGTCAACCTTGACCTATAAAGACCTGAACAAACACTACCATAGTTTTTTTTTTAAGACTTATTTATTTATTTATTCATGAGAGACAGAGAGAGGCAGAGACACAGGCAGAGGGAGAAGCAGGCTCCATGAAGGAAGCCTGATATGGGACTCGATCCCGGGACTCTAGGATCACGCCCTGGGCCGAAGGTACGTGCCAAACTACTGAGCCACCCAGGGATCCCACTACCATAGTTTTTTAACCGCTCAAGATCACATCCCTAGGATGACCCTAGTCTCCGTCAAAGAGCTGCCCCAGAAAACTCAAGGTTGTCAAAAAATTTTACTGTCTGTTCCAGCCAACACCTGAAGATGGGGCTCCTGTCTTCCAGCCTCCGTGGAAGAGGGAGACTAATTTCTACAAGTCAGTTTGCAAACTCAGATGGGTTTCACAGGAACCATCTCTCCTTCCAGCTTTTTGTAATTTGTCACTGCCCTGATTCTAATGAGACCCCCTTCACTCTCCTGCCTATTCCCTTATTTCTTTGAAAAGCCTAGTCACCTCTGTATAAAGAAGTAGAGTTAAATTTGCACTGGCAGCTTTCCCTATTGGAATAGTATATTACTGATTAAAATCTATCCTTACCACTTTAACAAGCACCCAGTTGTACCTTAAGAAGCACGTTTCTGCCATGCAATCATACTCAATAAAATGGCTGGTTGCTTTGTGTCATGAGAGAGACCAGGTTGTCTTCTCAGCTAGGTCTCTTAAGTCTAAGTCAAAGTAGTCTTGCTCCTAAGCATTTTCAGGAGAGCAAAGTTATGTACTTGTGGCCACTTGCACCTGGAAGTGCCACTAGGTTCCTGACACATCTAAGCAGAGGGTTCTCCACTTGTAGCTTTTGGAAATTGGGGGAGCTACTGGGAGTAGTGGAGAATAGAAATAAAAGCTCCACTGATCCTGAGAGGGACAGCTGGGTTTATGATAGGCTCTTTCTCATCCCAGGGCCTCCATCTGCTACACTCTTCCTCTACCCTGCACCACTGGCTCCTTTTCATCTTTTAGGTCACAGCTAAAGGCCTTGTCTAGACATCCTATGTAACATAGCACTCTTTTTAGAACGGATGGATCAGTTTGACGACATCTGCTGATTCACCTGAACGTCACAGAAAGATAACCAGACATTGCATATCTCCTGAAGTAATGTGATAGCAAGTACACAGAGCCACCATGAAGTATTTTTATCCAAAAAACGGAACCTGAATGTGATCAAGTTACTAGATCTAGAAACTAGTTTGTGGAAGTTAAAAAATTCAGGAGGTGGAGGTACATATTAAATGAAAACTGAGGTTGCAATCAGCAAAATCCAGACTGGGGAATTCTAGTTAATTATCTTGTTTCTTCAACAAATAATGGTACAGAGATGCTTTTATTGTAAATTGTTATTGATCTAATATGGATCCAATTTGCATGAAAAATCATACAAACTCATCAGTGGTAACTAGATACTTTCAATATTAACTGGATATATGAGATATTCAGCAAATTATTTTGAATGAAATAATACAGGGGTTGTGATTTATTGAAGGTATTTATATTTTGAAGATACATCTAAAGTATTTATGAGTGAAACCATATGAAATATGTGGCAGGAGGTTGGGTGGGAGAGAGTAGGGACATATCACTGAGTCTAAATTTCATACTCTGTACCCAGCACATAGCCAGGGACTTAGATATCATTTAATTTTTTAAAAGATTTTATTTATTTATTCATGAGAGACAGAGAGGCAGAGACACAGACAGAAGGAGAAGCAGGCTCCATCCAGGGGGCCTGATGTAGGACTCGATCCCGGGTCTCCAGGATCATGCCCTGGGCTGAAGGCAAGCGCTAAACTGCTGAGCCACCCAGGGATCCCTGATTTTTAAATGAATAAATAAATGATGGAGATCTGCATCCTGGTTTCATTTCAGTAAATAGCATGACCTCAGGCAAACAGGTTTCCCTCTGAGATTTCCTTCTCTGTCAATTAAACATTTTATGCTATGATCTTATGGTTTTTATTCTAGTGTCCATTTCCTGATTCTGAAGGTAGTATCTGCTGTAGATGTGTGAGTGATTGCAGAAGCTCTTTAGTCCTGGGGAGTCTGAAGAATAAAATGCTACCTATCACCATATCATTTTATGGCAATGATATTTATTTACTGATGCCCCAATATGTTTTTGATCAGACGCTTAAGCAGCCTTACTCCTGCGATAATGTGCACAGATCACAGAGGCTTCAAACACTGCATCACCTCTATTAAACTGCACAGTGCTCCATGTTACCTCTCCTGCTTGTTTGGGGATGCCTTATTATTTTTGTAGAAATGTGCATGCCCTCTTACATTATCCAGTTATTTCTAGTTCTTATCTCTTGAATTCACAGCCTTTAGGACTTGGCTAAAGGAGAAATAAAAGAATACATTATTTATTATCTATGAGGTTTATAGGAGGAGAAGCCAGGCTTGTTAATATTCTGTTCAGGTACCACTATGTTCTAGAAGCCTTTCTTGATCTCTTTCTTTTCTCTTCCTTCCTTCCTTCCTTCCTGCTCCATGCTGGATTGGGTGTCTTTTCTTCTCTTTCTATATCTGTATACCTCTCATTTCATGTCCCACATTGTTTTCTGAGTTTCCATTTATGTGCCTATCTCTCTAACTAGGTTACGTGCCCTGCTGGCAAGTGTGATGTTCTTAATTTTGTTTGTTTTTAGCACAGTGTGTGCACACCTATAAGGATTTGGTTTGTTGAATGAATAAATGAATGAATTTAATCAAACCATGAGTTTGAAGAAACAAATTCATCAAGGCCTATCCTTTATATCATAAAAACATTTACCCAAATAAAACATATAGGTAGAATAATTAAATCTTTTATTTATTTGAATGACTTAATGTTTCTTACCTGGTTTGAGCTGAAATGCTTCTAAATTTAATATACTGAATTTACATACTCAGAGCAGTTAAAGCAATTACAGCTGTGGGAACTCCCCTAACGTCTCTCTTCAAAGAATGCAAATCACAGGAGGTTGTTGCTATCTACCCATTCATAATGATCTAGATTGCCTCAGTGACCATTTACGAAGCTGTTTGATTTCACTCCAAATAATTTATCCCTTTATAAGCTCATTTTCTTTTACTCTTCCCTTTTATTTATCTGTTTATTTATTTAAATT